GGAAGAGTACATGTTGACCTGATGGGACCTTACAAGGAGACACCCCGCGGCAACAGCTATCTGATCGTGGCTGTAGACTCATGGTCTAAATGGCCCGAGGCAGGACCCCTGCCGGATAAGAAAGCTAGCACCACTGCATCATGGTTCTGGCAACAGTGGGTGACCCGCTATGGATCGCCAGAAATGGTGATGACGGATCAAGGTCGAGAATGGGATGGCGAGTTTGCCCACCTGCTACGAGAGCAGAAAATCGCACATCGACACACCGCTGCCTACTCACCTCAGAGCAACGGGCAGGCAGAGCGCCTTGTCAGGGTACTGTTAACAAGCCTACGCAAATGCATCAACGACAAGGAAGACAACTGGGACATTGAGGTCTATCAAATTCTCTATGGTTGTAGAGCTACCCGACAAGATAGCACGCGGTTGAGCCCGGCGCTATGTGTGTTCGGCAAAGAACTTACAACGGCGGCTGAACGCAGCACCGCCCTGAATCCCACACTACCGTCTGAGGACCCTGGCGGAGGTTAGCCCCGGCCAGGTGGCCAGGTTTCTGAAGGGGGGGGACGCTACAGCTGTAGCGACTTCCAGCTGGTCATAGAGAACTGAGTTTGACGGCTTTGGTTGCGTATTGTTCCGGGCATAGCAGGAGGCCGAATATTGCCATATCGTTAATTAAAAACTATAAACGCGTTGAGAATGGTCATGTACATACGGCGCACCGCGTAAAGACTGGCGATGAAAAGCAGGCGATTTGTGTCTGACGATCTAGCTCCGGTCTGAGAAATGTTCTATGAAAAATATCCTGTACTAGTTTCTTCTCAGTTTCCTTTGGCCGCCATGAACCTGGCCAGGAGCTGCGTAAACGGGTAGCTACCGTTGCGTAATTGTAGCTTAGATGCGGCAGGAGCAAAGCGAGTATAGCCTCTAAGCTAGGTTATGTACGGCAGCCGTATGGCTTGCTGAGAATTCGAATTTACTATTTCAGCTGACAGCTCCATAGTTCCGGCATTCTGCCTACACTATTGGAGCTTATTATTATTGTTGCTCTCACTTTTTTCCAAGACCTTACCGACTACCCTCAAGCCTCATCGACGCTCTACCACAACGAATCGACATCGCCGCGGACCTGTCACTCTCCGAGGAACAACCAGGAGCTCCGTCACAAATCAAAAAAAATGACGGGTAAGAGGACAAAGGCAACGGGAGATAACCTGGTCAACGCAGGAGCGGCCGAAGCAGCCGGCGAAGGGGGATCGGGCCAGATGCTGCCAGCCAACCAAAACGACATAGAAGCCGCCAGGGATACTTTGAGCGGGAACATAGACCAGCCGACTCTTCACCAGCTGCTGCTGGGCGTCCTGTCAGCAGCGCAGGCCAACGCCCCAAAAGCGCCAGCCAGGGATCCCCGGACAGCACCGCCTCGGGATCGCTCTCCTGACGTTGTCATCACAAAAGACGTGACCATCATGCCATCCGCAAGAGAGCAGCTAGCAGCAATAAGGACGGAAGTTCAAGCGAATGACGCACCGAAGCTGACAGCCCCACACGAGCAGCGGGAGCAGCTCGACGAAGGAACGCTAATGCTGCTAGAGACCGCCATCACCGCGCTGGATGCGAACGAACCCCAGCTGGCCGTCGCGGGAGAATGCCTCAAGATCGCTCATCGCCGCCTTAAGTGCTACTCCGTTGCTCTGGCCAAGGCGGGCCCAGGAGCCAACGGTAATTTCACGGCCCCCTACGAAATCTGGCACGGCAGGCGGCGCAACTTCACCAAGCCCGAGTTCAAACCAGAGGCCATAGATAAGGGCGACATAGAGAGTGCATTAGCTAAAACGCGCAAGTCGGTGGCGGCGGACAGGGACGGTCAGGCCGGGTCCCTCTGGCGAGGGAGAGACCGGCAGGGTGGAGTGCGGGATTCGTTTGGTAGTGCACGCCGGAACGACCGCAGCCGCTATGACCGCTACGACCGGCGCAGCCAGCGTGACCGAAGCCGCTCTCGCAGCCCGGCTAAGCGTGGCTGATTAGGATTCTGTTGNGCTTTGTGTTGCTTGACTCTGGCACTGCACCGATCCTACCCCCCTCCTTTTTTCTTAAGCTCGCTCAGTGGCCCCTCCGTGCAGTTCGCGGTCGTTGTTGTTGCAGGGGCCCACAAGTCCGACAAACATTATTGGGTTGGAACGGAGTATGCTTTGGCCCAGTCTTTGACAAGACTTGTTATGCTAAGTTGCACATCCGGTCTCTTCCAGACCTTCCACCGCTAGAAGATGTCGGACCAAGTTGTACCCTGGAGGGAGGTTTCTTTGTAACGCGCGCGAGCTCTTGCCCTTGGTGGCGCCTGTGATTGGCCTTGGGGCCTTATTGCCGCCCTATGGCATAAAACGAGGGGTAACCCCCCCTTAAGCATAACCCAGGGGTTAGGGGTAGGGGTAAGGGTAGGGGTAAGTGGTTACCCATGTGGCTATGTACGAAGGGGGGTGGGTAACCTAACCCCGGGGTAGGGGTAACCCCTTACCAAGGGGTAACAAAGGGGTAGGGGTAGCCCCTTACCAAGGGGTAACAAAGGGGTCGGGGTAATATTGTACTGAGGGGTAACAGACAGGGTAACCCGTGTTTACAAGTGTTCCTTGTCCGTATGCCGGGCCATATGCCGGTGTCAATGGATTGTAAGTATGTCCCTGTCCAACCTGCCTACACATGCTATCACAGCTGTCACATCCATCTATCTGAGCACGTATGCCTATTTCGCCTATGTAAAAAAATATTTGCAAGCCTCTCTATACACTTCCATCCATGCATATGCCTGTATCAAGCTCACATGTCTACACATACAAACATACATGTTCACCAAACACTTCGAGTGTACAATTGTAAAGATTGCCTCACCAACACAAGCCTTGCAGGGCTGAAGAGCCCGCCCATGGCCCCAGGCTCGGGGTGTGTATAAACTCGCTAATTACACCAACGTCATCATATCAAGAGAAAGGAAATCAGACCCAGCCCCCAGATTCAGTTCCGTATGATCTGATGTACGGCTCCATACACATGTCTCACTAAATGAGTTCCTGACTCCGATAATCAAATATCGGATAATCAAATATTTCTCCGATATTTGATTAATCCGAG